GGTTGAGTGTAATCCCCTAGTCAAGGTCGGCATGTGTGGTCCTGTGGTTGATATAGAGCCTGGGCACTTGTGGACTTTGTATTGTCCTTCTGTGACAGTGTATGGGCTTTATGTGGACATTAGCCAACCTACAGCATGTGCATATAATACACACATTTAGGAAGCCACCCTTTCTGGGTGACCCAACATGTATGAGACATGCACAGGTGCTTGAGAGAGGATCCCCACATGATGCTCGAGTACATGTCCATGGGGGTGCACCTACAATCTACTTGAATCCTAGAATCCAACTACCTATTGGTTGACTCTGATGGATCAAGCATGAGCCACGGCTTAAGACCATGGATCTTGGGTTTCGTTGGGCCAATTTAAGAAAGCGATCAAGGGTTCCATAGTAAGCCGAGTGGATCACCCCATGTGTTCAAAATTTGATTCCTAAAGGTACCTAATTTCCCTCCAGATATTTTTTGGAAGTCCAAACCATTTCAAAATGATAAACCAACTTAAAAATGATTTTTTGTAATTTTTGGGTTTTTTTAAGCCTAAAATGGAATAGAATTTTTTTAAAAAAATAATGACAATTAAGGACACATGAACCAAAACATCATCATCATCATTATCAAAGCTTTTCCCAACTAATTGGGGTCAGTTACACGAATCCTAGTCTGTCATTCTGCTTTATTAAGAGTCATAACCTTAGTGAGGCTATAAGTGCCCATATATTTTTTCACTACTTTCAACCATGTCCTTTTGGGTCTACCCCTTACCCTTTTTGAGCTTTCCACTTGAACTAACTCACACCTCTTAAATCTACCTAAGTCTACTTTATCTCATCTTATTGCCTATTGGTGCCACACCTAAATTATCCCAAATATATTCATTTTGAATTCTATCCCTTCTTATCTTTCCATTCATCCATCTCAACATCCTCATCTCAACTACAGTCATTCTATGGGTATATTGTTTCTAGACCCATAATATAAGGGCCTAAATGGTCCATAGGACCCAGGCCACACGTGGGCCTCACTTCACTACCACATGTGGGTGACACAAGGGTAACATTATCACCATGAAGGGCATGTAGCAATGGGCTTGTTTGTTAGCCCACATGAGTTCACTTGTTCTTATTGGTCACTCTATTTTGCACGTGACTGTTTCAATTTTGCACATGGGTGAATCTTCTACAAGTGGCATAGTGGGAAAATTAAAAGCCCACTTGCATGACACTTCTCACACTCTCATTTGTCCCATATACACCCCATGTGCAAATTAGCTAGGGTAATAAAGAATCTCTCGTTATTTCTCTCATTTCACTTGAAGAAAATCCAGAAGGGGCACGCACCTCTCAATTTTAATCTCTCTCTAGATCAAAGAAAATTGATGACGGACAAATTGGACTGTGGAAAATGTGAATTTTGATTTGAAATGAAAATTGAATTGAAAATTGAAAATTGACAAGTGACGATTGAGATTGGAGGGAAATCTGGAATTGAAATTTGAAGTTGGGAATAATGTATTAAATCTCACTCCTAGATCTATGATAGGTAGTCTAGAAATGAATGGCTTAGAGGAAAGCCTCCCTTCACCTCAAAGATATCCAAGATCAATGGTCCAAATTAATCCTCCAATGAGCCTTCTACACACTCTCCCACGAAACCTCTACATAGGGATGCCCTCGTCCCATTTTCTCACTCAATTCCATTGCAAAGTTACTATGCCAAACTATAGAGAGAGAACCAAAGAGAGGCAGGCCCCACCTAGAAAGAGAGAGTAGTTCATTGCCTTGACCATACCCCATCGCCATGAGCACCCAGCCTAGGCCAAATCTCTAACCTTGCCCCTTTGCCCATACAAACCTATTGTTCAACTATGGCTCAACTCTTCACCAATGGAGCTAAAATTTATCTTCGATGCTCTGGATATAACTGAGTTTACTCATTCACAGTAAGGTATTCCATATCTCTCTAAGCCATAAGTTCAATTTGTTGAGCAATTACCATGCCTACTTGAATGCTTATGTATAGGGCCTAATATGAGCCCACTTTGGCCAAGTTTTTCCCATGTACCACCTAGTTCTTCAAAACTCATCTTATGATCATGAAATCAACCCCATTGGAGTGTCATTAATTGCATAATGATCTCATTTGGATTGCTTCCCAATTTGGAGGATTAAAACAACCCGATCACTTGTGCTTTTGGTGTGGAGATCCAGAATGGGGTGTGGTTTGAGCCCCGAGGAGGCAATCCTGAACAATTCTTATGAGAATTGGCTTTCCCATGGTTTGTCTTTGTTGCACACGGTGGTTGAATCCTTGCAAAGTGGAAGGTTGTATTTCAGCAGTGGAAGTTGTAATTGTAAAGTGTTTGATGTAACACTCAATGAAAGTAGTGTTGTATTTTTCAAAGTGTCCACTATATTGTATTTCAAAGTGTCCATTATATTGTATTTCTACAACCTTCACTTGTTCAAATGTATGGAAATGTGTATGGGGCTATATTGAGGTCTTTTTGGCCCTCATTTTGAGTTGTAAATCAGGTTGGAAAGTGTTTGTATTAGTCCTATTGAAATTTTGATTCAAAACTATATCTAAAGATGTGTAAAAACCACTTGCATTTGAAATTTTAAAGCGTAAGTAACAAGGGAGTGGTCTCTACACCTAACAAGCCCAAAACTAGCCTCTACCGAATTGCACTGATGCAACGGCCCCAAGTAATGTTCCACCACCCTGGTCATCATCTCTCATGACCCCTTCAACACCTGCATCCCTTGGATTACCCCTTCAAACTTCTGTTCCAATTCAGCACAACAGTCATTGGGCGGCAGCAGCCAGGTACTAGACTTTCCTTCTCCGACACATTTTCCATTTGCAACTTCTACCCATTTGTTTCGAAATAGTTCATTGTGTATCCCCACAATTATGGTTTAGTTCTTGCCCATGTTATGACCATGGTCTTAACTTGTTCTCTTCTTCGTTTTGAACATTGAAGCATCTACCATTCCACTCAATTCATGTCATCCGTAATATTGCAAGCTATTTCAGGCCCCCGTTTGCGCATAACACAAATATTTGGAATAACCACACCTCTGCACCTTAGCTGAGCAACATTAACACCTTATCAGTTAAGTGAAGCACTGTGTATTTGGAGGGGTAGGAATATGCCACACTTTGCTGGCCACAGCATATGTTTCAGAACATCGAATATTCTGTACAAAAATTTTACAGAAAATCCCCTTTACTGCCCGGTCCGAAGTAAAAGGCAAGGCGTCCATGTAGTCTGATACCAGAAACTTTGTACCACTTTGTACACTATTGCATTTGGATTCTAGGCAACCAAAAAGAGGCTGGGGTGCTCCGTAATAGTTTGCTGCCCAGTAACCTTCCCTTCTATTCCCTACCTGAATCTTAATATCCTGCACGTTCTGCCCGCAATTATTAAGTCCCTTTCATGCACCTGATAAATGTTCCTATCATACTGCATTTTCAGAAACCGATCTTCCCCGCCCTTATCATATTTATTCTCCACTGCCCGCATTTATCAAGTCCCTTCCATGCACCTGATAAATGTTCCTAGTATACTGCATTTTCACAAACCAATCTTCCCTGCCCTTGCCATATTTATTCTCCACCGTTCATACCCATAGGTAGCTGTTTGGTGACTCATCCTCCACCATTTAGCCAATGGTCCCTTATTTGTTTCTTGGATTCTTCAGATTCCCAGGCCCCCGACACACATAACTTGGAAAACGCATTTCTCATGAGGAAAACACCCCCACAATAACCATGCTCACAAAGGATACCTACATTAGGTGTGAGGCACTCTTTAACAACCAAATGCCTAACAGAAATCACAGGTGGGAGCTGAGCACAAGACTCATTCCCAAACATCTTATGTTATGGATTAATGGATTTTCTTATGGAAATTTATGAAAAATCTCATTCCATTTTTATCATCAGAATTTTAGAAAGTCCCCTGTATTTTGTATTTTACACTCAAATCCACTTTTTGAGAATGGATATTGTATTTTAGTTTTATTTTTTTCCAATACATCAGATTAAGCTCAAATTTGGGGCATCCATACTTCTTACTATTACAAACCTGCAAGAATTACAAGAAAAAATAACTTGAATAAAATAGAACGACCAAATTACCCCCAAAACCTGTAGAAATATTTTAGTCATTTCATATTATTGAATTATTTTTCAATAATATTTGCAAGTGTGTGATGGAGAGAAGTATGGACGCCCAAAATTTGCACTCAATCTGATGCATAGAAAATAAAATAAAATGCACTCTCAGAGAGTAGGAGTTGAGCGTAAAATAGAAATATAGGGGACTATTTTTAAATTTAGATAATAAAATTGGATTGATCTAATAAGGGTGAGGACCTTAAACTTTCCTTTAACCCGTCCCAAGCTCGGGTAAAGGAGGTGGGTTGCATTAGGTAGGCAGCCAAAGTAAAACTATGCCGCATCTTATCATGAATCTTGAACCTAGTCTTATTGAGGATATGGCCCCTAATAGAGCAGAATGGAGGAACATGATTCATGTAGCTGACCCCAAATAATTGGGATAAGGCTTGGATGTTGATGATGATGATGATGATGAGATAATAAAATGGGATTCTCCAAAAATTTCCCTTTTTAAAATAGCACATTTTTTATCAAAACATAATCTCACATTCGTACAAATCAGTTCAAGGTTCGGAAGATCTAATGTCATGCATTAATGACATTGAATCATGTATTTCAGGGGAAGATCTTCTGACCAGCACAATCCATCTTTGAAATTGTACTATTTTGTTTGTTTAAGCTAAGCTCACAAACAAACAAATTTCATTAGAATAATAAATCTCTATGAACGTGCCAAAATAAATAAGTATAATATCATGATAACCAGATACTAAATCCAGACATAGAGCAAGCTCTTCTTAAACCAATCTCTAACTACACATGGGATGGTGGATCTTACTAAGTCCTGGTTTAAAATGGAAACAATACCTCTTCAATGGCTGTTGCATTATCGTTTTGTGGTTGACCACTATTATCTGTTTGCAGCTGATCAGCATCATCTTTGGGCACATCATTGACCTTCTCCTGACCCTCTGTATCCATAGGGTCATCACTTTCTACATGCTCAGCAATTGTAGCTTTATCAACATCGGGAATTTTTAGATCTGCCGGGAGCTGGCCAGACTTCAATGCCTGTCAAACATACCAAAATAAGAGAAACAGGTCACATTTTGATCAAGCACACCATGTGTTGTAAGAAAACTTCACAGCAAACATAAATTGAAGAATTTAAACAAGGACATCATTTTCTGTTGGATGCTAAAACTAAAAAAGAAACATATCTAAATAAAAAGTCAGAACTACATTTAGCAGCAAAAGGACGCACCTTTTCGAGTCGTGCAACCTCTTCCAATGTTTGGGAATTCACAATTGCAGCCTACACAGTAATCAGAGATCAAAAATATAATGAACTCCAGTTGAAGAATAAGCATCATCGACATGCATCCTAGGTATCCCAAAACTTCTTGGTATGCACATGCGCAAAAGCACAAAAACAATATTAAAACAAAACTCACTAAGGTATCCCATTTTAGGTATTGAATTTTGGATCTATACTAGAGGAACTCCTGCTTAATTACACAAATGGATTTATGCTAAAGGATCTCTCTCTCTCTATCTCTCTCTCTCTCTCTCTCTCTCTCTCTCTCACACACACACACGGGAGGGCACAAAACATTCCAGCAGAGGATAATCTTCAGTCCAAACCCATTGGCACAACCACTGCATTTTGTTAGAGAACCCCACATTGTTATTTCCTTCCACCCATTGGCACAACCACTGCATTTTGTTATGAATAGAAACAAGCTTGGCATAGTTAACCATTTACTGTAAACCAATCCCATAGCTGAGCCACATGATGTAATGCACATAGCCCCGTATATGGTTATTGGGATGTCCCAACCTAGTTGGTGATCCTGCTCTAAAATCTTGCATGGCGCTCCCGGAAGGGATTCTCAAAGGATATCAATTTTCAAATTTTGGGATCTCATTCCCCACCTTAAAGACTAAGATAACAACCAAACTGACCAGCTAGCAATGCAATCATGCTTTTAAAATAGTTGCCTTGTTTGTTAGTTATAAATATAAATAAAGATATCCCTACTTTAAAAAATATTTAAAGTCACACTCTGCTGATAATCCATGAAAATTGAAAGATTAAGAAAGATGTCGTGTATAGAATTAGAGCTGGATGGACAAAGTGGAGATGAGCTTCTGGAATCTTACGTGATTGGCGCAAAGCAATGAAACTAAAGAGGAAGTTCTATAGGGCAGTTATAAGACCAGTCATTTTTTATGAGACAGAATGTTGGGTGGTCCATAAACAACATATCCATCGAATGAAGAATAGCTGAGATAAGGATGTTGAGATGGATGAGTAGCAAGACAAGAAAGAATAGAATTCAGAATGAATACAACCAAGGGAACTTAGCAATGGCTCCAATAGGCAATAAGATGAGGGAAAATAGAGAGGTGGTCTGGCCATGTGCAGTGTCGACCTAGAACAGTACCAGTTAGGAAGGAAAATTTCGTCCAAGTGGAACACTCTAAAAGGGCAAAGGGAAGCCCCAAAGGACATGGATGAAAGTAGTGAGAAGCGATATGGTGACTTACGTCTGACTGTGGTTATGGCCCTTGATAGAACAGAATGGCAAAACAGAATTGGTATAGCTAACCACAACTAGTTGGGATAAGGCCCAGATGATGATGATGATAATATTGTCGTAGACTCTATGCACTCTTTAATTTTGGGAACAAGATCCCTAAAAGGTTGGGATCAAGAACTCTAACATGATCAATTTGTGGATATTGATCCCAACCCTTTGAGATCTCGATCCCTAGCATATGTGTTGTACAGAAGGCACAACCAGCCAAAGGAATCTTCTAGTTTTTCATGATCCCTAGCTCCACATCTCTATGCAGCTCCCGATCCAACAACTATGCCCCATACTACAACGCCCACGACAACAGTAATTCAAAAAAGTAACACCAATTACCTTTATAAGCATATGGCACTAACTGTTCAAATATGGACAGGGACAAAAAGAATCATTTGTACAATGAAAATAACGAAAACCTCCTAATTAAGTTTGGGGTTGTTAACTACAAAGCCATTGTGGGCAGCACATTCCTTCACTAAGGCATCAGCTGTAGGGGTTTGTGGCCTTTAAAGGCCGTGAGAGCATGTAGATAAAGAATTATAGTGGATTATGCACATTAGTGGGAGTGAGTGTATTGGTTGACTGACCTAGGGTTATGTTGGGTTTTGTGGCCTTTAAAGGCATAGAGAGCTTTTAAAAATGATATTTTATAGTGGAATATGCACTTCAGTGGGAGTGTAGGTGTTGACTAACCAAGGGTTGGGCGGTTTATGGCCCTGGTCATGTCCAAAACCCTAACCCCTGGGAATGTGGCACAACCAAAAAGAGTTTGCAATGGGTCATCCCTTGTTGAGGTCAGAGAGATGCCCACGGATGATGTTTGTACGCTAAGGAGAACTGTTTGGTCTCTTGTGTGCGGTTGTAGGCCTGTGAGAGCAAGGGCCAAAGCCTCAACAAACTTTCGCACAGCATGTACACATGACAGCCGAATTGCTGAGAAGCAGTCCTATAGAAGGACACGTGTACATGTGCATGGAGAGAGCCCCATTTTGCACTGCAGTGACAGGTGCTAGACTTGCTCTTAAAGGGGAGAAATTGTAATCCACATTCCAAAGTCATGATTTCCCTGTTTTTTTTTTTTTTGATAAAGTTAACTTTTGTCTTGCTGTGAGAGTGACATGACACATAAAGGGTATTCGAGAGTACCCACAATTCAGGTCTCTCAGTCAAAAAATTGGTCAAAAGACCTTATACAAAAAATTGGGGCTTATAGAATTGCCCGATTACAATGGATGTACTGGATCGTGAGTAAAGAAGTGTACGCCTACTGTGGTCCAAAGCAAAAAAGGAGATTGACCGGCGGCTACTATAGAACTACAATAAGTGTGAATAAGCAAAGGTACACCCACAATGGTCCAAAGCAAGAAATGGACCGGCAGCTTCTATTGAACAACTGCAACCCAAAAAAATACTCGTCTAGGCCAGGCCTTCTCCTAGAGCCCTAGCTTTGTCTTTCGCCAGAAGATTGACGAACTCGTTGGACGTCCTTCAAATATGCTTCCAAGAGACGACCATATCCTTGCAAGTGTAAGCAATCTCATCAAATATAGAGGATAAGTACCACGGAGGTGGTGTGGTCCCGGCTGCACAGGAAATAATATTTTGAGCATCTCCTTCCACACAAAGGTGTGATCCCCAAGTACGGTTGAAGCGTTTAATCCCCAAAAGTAGCGCCATGGCTCAGCGAACTGAGAGTCATCATGGCCTAAGTGCTCGGAATAAGTGAGCAGGATGTTGCGTTGATGGTCGCAGAAGACTCCACCGGCTCCCGCTGGGCCAAGGTTCCCCAGAGAGCAACCAACGAAGTTAAGTTTGATGGTGCCTTCTAGAGGGGCCAACCAGTTGTTGGGTCTTTGAATCTTTTGTGGTTGGAGGTGGAGGATGTTTTCCCATTGGCTGAGGAAGGTATTTGCCGATATCCCAGAGAAGGCCCTATGGTTGGAGGCCCAAAAGATTACTAAAGAAGTAATCCTATGGAAAAGTGTTGGAACTTCATTTTTGTGGCCTTGAAGGATCCTAGCGTTCCTTTCTAACCAAATGACTCATAAAGTTACTGCAACAGCAGCCTTCCATAAAGTTCTTCCAGCCTTCGGCCAATGAGAGGGGAGGTATGAGGAGATTAGAACCGTAACCGAAGGTGAGGTGACCCATTGGAGTCCAAACAGCTGGATTAAGAGGCTCCACAAGTCATGTACTATGTTACAGTGGATGAAAAGGGGCCGGTTCGATTCCTCCTCGCTTAGACATAGCATGCATCTGTTAGGGATAGGAATCCCTTTCTTTTGGAGCTGGTCAACTGTGGGAGCCCTTTGGGAACAAGCAATCTAGTTGAAGGTTTGCACTTTAGGAGGGGCGATGGTCGACCAAACCTTGGAGAGAACAGAGATGGAGTTGAGTGGGAAGGTGGGAGGCTGGATAAGTTTTTTGTAAAACGAGGCCACCGAATAGATGCCAAAAGGAGAGAGAGTCCAAACAAGAGAATCCCTCCCAAAAGGGGTAATGAAGTTGGAATGCAGAGCTTCCGAGAGAGAAAGGAAATGGGCAGTTTCCTCTTTTATGAGATTTCTTCTGAAGGAGAGGTTCCAAACTCTTCTATCCCGTGAAAGGAGTATTTCATCTGCGATGCTGGAAGCTTTATTGAAGGCAAGAAAGTAAAGGGTCCCTTAGAGGAATGTGGCCTAGCCAGAGATCTGACCAGAATCTAACTCAAGAACCTTCCTTAGGATGAAAGCGGATGAATGTTTTGAACAGGGAGAGAGAAGACGCGAAGGACTTCTATGCACTTGAGGCCCTATTCAAGGATCTTCCCTCAGGCACCTAAGCATCTTCGGAAATCCTATATTTTCTGCGGAGGACCTAAGCCCAGAGGGAGTTAGTCTGAGTGGCTAACCTCCACCACCATTTCCCTAGTAGAGCCAGGTTGTGTTTTCTGAGGATCTTGATCCCCAGCCCTCCCTGAAATCTGGGAAGGCAGACCATGTCCCATGAGATGAGGTGACATTTGGTTTTCTCGGCCTGACCTGACTAGAGGAAATTCCTCATCAATTGGTCAAGGTGGTTCGCCACCGAGGCTGGCATGTGGAAAAGAGACATAAGGTAGATAGGGGAGTTGGCCATGGTTGCTTTTACCAGCTTGGTATGGCCAGCAAGAGAGAGATATGTCCCTTTCCATCCTGCCAAGCGCCTGTCTACTTTGTCAATCACATGAGACCACTGTCTCTTTTTTGGTTTTCCCAGTCCCAAGGGTAGACCAAGGTAGGTAGTGGGAAAGTCCTCCACTTTGCATCCCAATTTGGGATTAGCGCTCTGGTTTCGGTGTTTGTGAGGGCTACCTCCATCATCTTTGATTTTTCCATGTTGATTTTGAAGCCAGTTGCTAATTCGAAGCATTTTAGGAATACCCTCAGATTATCAATTTCTTCTGGTGTCTCATCAAGGAACACCAACGTGTCATCTGCGTATTACAGATGAGACACAATTGGGCCTTGAGCGCTGCTTTGGAAGCCGGTGAGAAGGCCTTCCTAGTAAATGCAAGTGGTTGAACGACCAAATACTGCTGCTGCGATGGCAAACAGGAAAGGGGAGAGGGGATCCCCTTGGCGAAGTCCCCTCGAGGATGGGAAAAAACCTTTTGGAGTCCCATTGATTAGGATAAAGAAATGAGGATGAGAGTAGCAGCCTCTCATCTACCTTCTCCAAAGGACCCGAAACCCCAATC